GAAATAGAACACCTAAACAGACCAATTACAAGCAGCGAAATTGAAATGGTAATCAAAAACCTCCCCAAAAAACAAAAGCCCAGGACCTGATGGATTTACAAATGAATTCTACCAAACATTCAGAGACGAATTAGGGCCTATCCTTCACAAACTCTTCCAAAAAATTGAGAAGAAGGGACAATACCAAACACGTTCTATGAAGCCAATATTACACTAATACCAAAACCGAATAAGGACAACACAAAAAGGAAAACTATAGGCCAATCTCCCTAATGAACACTGATGCAAAAATCCTCAATAAAATTTTAGCTATCAGAATCCAACAATGTATCCATAAGATAATTCACCACGACCAAGTTGGATTCATTCCAGGGGCACAAGGATGGTTTAACATCCGAAAATCAATCAACGTTATCCAACACATCAACAAAAAGAAATATAAAAACCATATGATAATATCAATAGATGCTGAGAAAGCTTTCGACAAAGTGCAACACCCATTCATGATAAAAGCCCTTGAAATTCTTGGGATACAAGGAACATACCTCAACATCATAAAGGCCATCTATGACAAGCCAACAGCCAGTATCATTCTCAATGGTGAAAAGCTGAAAGCAATTCCATTAAGATCTGGAACAAGACAAGGATGTCCACTCTCACCACTGCTTTTCAATATAATACTGGAAGTCCTAGCCAGAGCAATAAGACAAGAGAAAGACATCCAAGGAATCCAAATAGGAAAGAAGAAGTCAAACTATCACTATTTGCAGATGATATGATAATATACATAGAGAACCCCAAAATCTCCACAGAAAAATTAATTCAACTCATCAGTCAGTTCAGTAAAGTGGCAGGATACAAAATCAACATGCAAAAGTCAGTAGCCTTCCTATACACAAACAATAAATCTGAAGAAGAAGAAATCAAAAAAACCACCCCTTTTATTATTGAAACAAAAAAAATCAAATATTTGGGAATAAATCTAACAAAAGAGGTAAAGGACCTATATAAAGAAAACTATAAAACACTGTTAAAAGAAATAGAAGAAGACACAAAGAAATGGAAAGACATCCCCTGCTCATGGATTGGAAGAATAAACATTATTAAAATGGCCATCCTACCAAAAGCGATATGCAGATTCAATGCTATTCCAATCAAAATCTCAATGGCATTCTTCAAAGAAATAGAACAATTATTGATGAAATTCATATGGAATCACCAAAAACCCCGAATAGCCAAAGCTCTACTGAAAAAAAAAGAAGGAAATGGAGGCATCAAACTCCCAGACTTCAAACTATACTACAAAGCCATAATCATCAAAACTGCATGGTATTGGAACAAGAACAGACATACAGACCAATGGAATCGAATAGAAAATCCAGAAATAAACCCACAGATTTATGGTCAACTAATCTTTGACAAAGGAGCAAAGACTATGCATTGGAGCAAAGAAAGTTTGTTCAATAAATGGTGCTGGGAAAACTGGGTCGCTACATGCAAAAGAATGAAGCTTGACTACTACCTCACACCATACACAAAAATCAACTCAAAATGGATTAAAGAACTAGACATAAGACCTGAAACCATAAAATACATAGAAGGAAATATAGGCGAAACACTACGGGATTTGCACATCAAAGACATCTTTACAGACACATCACCCAAAGCAGTGATAGTGAAGGCAAAGATAAACAGCTGGACTACATCAAATTAAAGAGCTTCTGCACAGCAAAAGAGACAATAACAAAAACAAAGAGAAACCCCACCAACTGGGAGAACATTTTTGCACCCAACACTAATGATAAAGGACTGATCACAAAAATCTGCAAAGAGCTGATGAGACTCAGCAACAACAAAGAAAATAATCCAGTCAAAAAATGGGCAGAAGAGCTAAAAAGAAACTTCTCTGAAGAGGAAATGCAAATGGCCAACAGACATATGAAAAAATGTTCAACATCACTTGCAATCAGGGAAATGCAAATCAAAACTACCATGAGATACCATCTCACACCAGTGAGAATGGCACATATTAAAAAAACTAGCAACAACAAATGTTGGCGAGGGTGTGGAGAAAAAGGAACTCTTCTGCACTGTTGGTGGGAGTGCAAACTGGTCCAACCACTATGGAGAGCTGTGTGGAGATTTCTGGACCTACTAAACATAGAGCTTCCATATGATCCAGCAATTCCACTCCTAGGTATTTACCCAAAGGACACAGAAACATCAATTCCAAAGAGCACCTGCACCCCTATGTTTATAGCAGCACTGTTTACAATAGCTAAGCTTTGGAAACAACCCAAATGCCCAAAAGTAGATGACTGGATCAAGAAGATGTGGTACATATATACCACGGAATATTACTCAGCATTCAAAAAAGATAAACACATGCAATTTGCAGCAACATGGATGGCGCTGGAAGGGATCATGCTCAGCGAAATAAGCCAAAAAGAAAAGAAAAATACGGATGGTCTCACTCATAGCAGGAATCTAGAAAACTTAAATAAGGGACCAGGAAAATGAATATAAGAAAGTGTGAAATCAAAATCAACAAAAAACTATGAACCAGAGACACTTTTTGGGGGGTGGGGGCGGGAGGGGAAGGATTGGGGTCAGAATGGGGCGTTTGCAATTGTATGGGGGAATATAAAAATAAAATTTAAGATTAAAAAAATAATAATAAAATAAAATAAAATAGTAAAACACCAACAAATAAATAAAAGCACTAGAGGCTGCTTAAAACAAAAATAATAAAGTAAGGTTATAGCATATATAGAGCAAAATATATAACAACAATTACACAAGGGATAGGAAGGTATGTTAAAGGAATTACACTGCTCTAATATTATTAGAATATTGTTCATGAAGTAATGGTTCTGTTAAAAAACACGTAGCACACATGAAAAATCACGTGTACATACATAAAGCACAAAAGAAGTCAAAAAAGGACAGAGAATCAGTAGAAGAGACAAAAAGGAAGCTAAAAGTATATTTACTTACACTAAATGGAATACCAAAAACTATTCCAATAACCAAGAAGAAGCAGGAACAAAGGCACAACATGAAGGACACACAGATGAGACAACTAGAAAGTATGTGCCAAGATGACAGATTTAGACTCAACTGTATAAGAGTAGTAATTACACTAAATGTAAGTGGACTAAACACTTTGATGAAAGAACAGAAATTGTCCGATTGGATTGATTAATGCAAGACCTACTACATGGTATTTGTAAGAAAATATTGTAAGTATAAAAACACAGATAGTTTTTAAAAACAAAAAGATATAAAAAGAAATACCATGTATATCAGATACAATTGATGCATAATAAGTTACCCCAAATTAGCCATTTAAAATAACAAGCATTTATCTCACAGTTTCTGGGTTATTTATCTGGGTATATATTGGCTAAGTCCCTTTGTTGCGTGAAGCTGTAGTCAGAGTTTTAGTCTCATCTGAAGGTCCAATGGGGGTGGGGGAAGAGCAGGATTTGCTTTCCAGCTCACTCTTCAGGACAACTGAATGAGAGTGAGCTACCCTTTAGGGAAACTGTAGTCTTTTTGTAAACTAATTTCAGAATTGATGGCCCATTGCTATGATTTGTTAAAATTGAGTTACTAAATCCAATGGACACTCAAGGGGAGGAAATTAAATAAGATTGTGGATACTTGAGGTAAGGATTACTGGGCATGATCTTAGAGGACACATACCACCCCATGCAAACACCAAACAACAAATATCTGCAAGAAAATGACACCCAATATCCTTTATAAATATAGACACAAAACTTCCAAAAATATATTAGCTTATTTCTCTGCATGATAGCCAAAAAGGTTAATTGGAAACAATTTATAAAACTCCTAGTTCACTTAAACTATTACATTATAAAGAGCAGTACCACCAGTGAGTCACCTTGACAATTTACTTTTTGACAATCCACTTTTCTACCAATAAGCCCATGTAGTGACAATATATAAGAAAATGATTAAAAGTGTAGATTCTCCTATTAATCTAGAAGTCAAAAGACCATTAAAAAAATATGGGGGGCAGTAGTTAAAGAAATAGAAACAGTCAGAAGAGAAACTGACTCAGGAAGAAAGAAAAGTTGGCAACTAAATGGGAATCAAATATCATTGCAAGGGCAGAGAAATGAATTGACCGTCACCCCCAAGAAAAGTGTGGAGGCAGGCACACTCCACAGGAACACCTTAAGACCACATGGTTTTATATTTATCCTTGGGATTCAGGAATACTACCTCCATCCTCCTGTTCAAGTTCAGAAACATGGAAATCACCCTTGACACCTCACTTCCCAGAACTGGTCATCACCAACTCTTCGCCATTCTAACTCAAAAATTCATATTACAGTCATCTACTTCCCTCCATAATCTAGTGCAAGTCTGGAGTTAAATTGTCTCCTTCCTGCACTTCTCTTTCTCTTCTAAACTCCTTCAATCCCTCCACACAATAACCAGCATGATCTTTATAAATGTAAATTGTGACACATCTCCCTCTAGGTTATAGCTCTAATGCCTTCTCACTGCACAACTTGGCCTCCAAGGTCCTAAATGACTTGTACATAGTCTTGGCTGGCTAGCAACAGAATGGCACCAAAGTGGGGAGCCCTGACACCACAAAGCTGTGGGTGAGGAGCTGATGTAGCCTCTTACTCGAAATTGTCCTAAACAAGGCCCACACGCAGTACCTGGAACTGAGAAGGTTGCATCTACTCCTCTTGGCTTAGTGTCCATCTCTTAAACTCTCCCTTCATCTCCTGTGCTGATGTGCGTATGCACACATGCACACACACACACACACACACACACTTTTATCTCATTCTCTCATTCACTTTCAGTCTTTAGTCTCCATTTGGATTTATGTTTGGTGTCTCTCTGTCTCCCTTGCTTTTCAGCTTGGCTCCAGCATCATTCTTGGTTTAGAAAAACTGTCACCCAGTCACCCTCAGAAAGCCAGGAGGCAGCCCCCCCCCCCATTTCACTACCTGCTCCCTTCGAGCTCACACACGTAGTTCACTACTGGGTCCAGTCAAAGGCCCCTGGCTCCTTCTTCAGCCATTTCTCCAGCTCTTTCAGGTTCTGGTCAGTGTAGTCAGAGGCGATGATCTCCTTGAAGGACTCACAAGCAGAGAGGAGCTGATAGATGGTGGGTCCAGAGCCAATGTCAATCAGGAGGTCTCCCTTCACGCCATCTAGGGTGGGAGCGATTAAAGGGAGGGGTCAGGCGTCAGATGGCAGGAGACAGAGCTCATTTATATCACCTTTGCTGGGATTATTCTGGACATTCCCCCCAAACAGGGTATCTCTCCACTTACTCCTTCCCCCCAGGTCTCATTTTAAAACATTTTTTTTTTCATTTTCCATTCTCCAATCCAGAGGGGGTACATGTTGCCAGCATATTTTTAGGTGGAAGCAAAAGAGAAGAATTCTACATCTGTTGTATAGACCCTTGATCCAGGAAGATTCCTACATAGAGAAGGTTAAAAACTATTAAGGAAGACTTTGGGGGAAAGTTAAAGAATTTTAATTGAGCTTATATTATGTCTTCTCCCAAAAAGTACCTCGTTTTACATATATTTGGAGGTCTTTAACTCATGCATATTTATATCATCACTTTGAGTTAGAAATAGAACAAGCAGGGACCTCCCTGGTGGCACAGGTGGTTGAGCGCCACACTGTGAAGCTGTCCACAGCCTCTGCAGCGCGGGTTCAATACCAGCCAGCCAGGGAGAAACCCACATGGCATGGCAGACCTCTCCTGCCTCGCCCGCTGCTCCCCTCAGCAGTGTATTTCAGCCTGCTTGTTCTGTTCCCACTCTGTCTCTGGTGAATCCTTTCACCCCTCCAGCGCATCTGGCCTGTACCCTGGTTCTTATATAAATAAATAAACATTTTTTAAAAATAGAACAAGCAATAGAATCTCCATTTCTTAAGTGGTTCATCAAGGTGAGATGGCCAATTCTGCTAAAATCCCTACAAATCTAGGACAGAACTCCATCCTCTGATTTCCCTTTAGCCTAGGTATGAAAGCGCTCTGAAAACTATAAGACATATACATCAATGTTAGTTTTTTCCTAGTTAAATAAACACAAAATGCCCAAAAGGGCTGTCAGATAACAATGACAAGACACTAAACCCACTTTGTGTCCTGAGACTCTGTAGGACTCATATTTTGGTGGGGAGACACACAGACAATAGATACACTTACCTACACAGAATATCCTGAAAAGGCTTTGCAGAACATGTCTAAGAATCTTATTTTCTGCTGATTGTTTGGACCCAAAGTTGTAATATTTTTCTAGATAATCCCGTGGGTTAAAGTGGCTCAGGTACGTGTCCTTGGAGGTGAAGCCAGAGTCCATTGTGCTTGCTCCAGTGCTCCAGTGCACTGCTCTCCTTCCAGTTCCCAGCAGCAGGAGTCACCTGCAGAAGTTGCCTTCTGAGTCTCAGGCTCTCAACTTTCCATCAGTTTATCCTATCCATTAGAGACAGCGGCTTGGTTAAATACTAACAGAGAAATACACCCAAAATGTTCTGGCCATTCTAGGATGTTATGAAATTCCTGGGAAGGGAGCCTAGGAGAAGGGGGGAGTGGCAGGGGAAGGGTCACGAGCTGCATGCAACACTGGCCAAGGGGTGAAGTTCAGCTCCAAGGGAAGAATCACTGGGATTGTGGGAAAATGATTTAACTCATTGAAGAACCCGTAAGTTCAGCAAGACGTGCCACACTCCCAGAACACCATCACTCTTCTCCTTCCTGCAGTGATTGTCCCAGAAAAAAGAGCCACAGAGAATCGTTTGAATTTAAACATGTGAAAGAAAGTAAAGAAGAGAAAGACAATGATAGGAAACGCATCCAGAGTTAAGGAATGTTCACGAAGGATTTTCAGATGAAGTCTGGAGAGATGGTGAAAGAGCAATTTTAAAAAACAGGATGGGGATTTCTCCAATACCCAGGCTAACCACAAAACCCTCTCCTTGTCCTGCTTATGCCTCTCCATCCTAGCTCTGTCATCTGCAGCTTCAACCAGTGCCTCCAATTCTGAGTCTCTCTCAAGCACCTCCTCACACATTCAGTTAATCCAAATCCTGACAGTTCTTTCAAAGTGCATTTAAAGCCCTCCGCTGCTTTAGGAATTCCTTAAATTCCCTTTACTGAGCTCATACAGCCCTTAGCACGAGCTCCATTCCGCATGGATTCAGGAGAGACTGCGCAATGGACCTCGTGTTTTCCCTCACCCAGACCTCAGGGGAAAACCTAGGAAGTTGCAAATCTCCCCCTCTTCATCAAACCTTAGGATCCCTCCAACATCCCCCATTGGCACAACCTAACACATAGAGGCACGTGGCAAAGGAGAATTGTGTTGGCAGAGTCCAGCTCTTACGTAACCAAATACAGAAAGGGTGGTTAGAGCTATGAGGCAATAAATTAATAACTGGCACAGACATCAATGCACAGAATCTATTTATAAAGATAATTTTTATTGGTCAGCTTATTTTGTCAGGTACTATTCTATGTACTTTACATATACTACCTTATTTAAACCTTATAACAGAAGGACACATTTGAAAGTCCAGTGAGTCCCAAACAAGATATGTAAAAGGAAACCCACTCCTAGATGTTGTATTGGTGAAACTGCAGAAGGCCAAAGGCTATGAGAAGATGTTGAAAACATCTAGAGGAAAGACACAGGTTACTTTTGAAGAATGACAGTGACACCGAGGGCTGACTTTGCAGGATAACACAGTGGAAGGCAGAAGACAGAGAACAATGTTGTCAATGTGAAAGTCACTGTCAACTGAGAATTCTCTAATCAGGAAAGAATTGGGACATAATAAGGATATCTTCAATCAAAAAAAAAAGTTTGCCATTTGTAGTATTAGTAGTCCCCTCGAAAGGAAATCCTCAATGACCTATTTCAAACAGAAGGAATGTGAACCCAAATAGAAGATCTGAAATGCAAGAAAGAATAAAAAACAAAGGAAGCTGATAAAACACACACACACAAATGTCACAAATGATTAATAATAAGCAAGGTGTAATTAAAATATACAATAGCAATAGCCTGTAAGTTTCAGGAGATGGTGGATACCTGGAATTGAAGTGTTCTAGAGCTTTGTATTACTGAGGGAGGGTAGACTCTGATAATTGAATGATGCATATTGTAATTCTAAGCAGATGGTGCCCTGCCCATATCCCTTGTACTTGGCACACCTGTGCATGGTAACATTTTCCTGATGTGGTCATATGAGACTCTGCTGAGGGCTTTCAAAGAAGGTCAGCATCAGCCTCCACCTAGAGCAGTCCAGAAAAGCCAGGGAGTTAATGCAGCGGCCTTCAGCCTCTGGGACATCAAAATTGGTGAATAAACATCCAAGCTTCCCTGTCCTGGAACAGGAGTGTTGAGATACATTCTCTCCCTTCTCCCAGAGGTGCAGGACTAAACCCTGGGTGCCCACAGCAGTAACTGGCTCATTGATCTCCATGAGCTTTCTGGCTTCACTGCCTTCCTTTCTTTTTCTGTCTGACTTTTCCAGTCCCAAACTAGTATTTCCCGAGATCCAAACTGTAGTGGCTGTAAGGCACAGGGCAGGTTCTCTCTGGATCCGGGCAGATGGTTAAAGGAGAGCCTTGGAGCCCTCAGTGGCTTTTTCAGGCTTTTAATGATCTTTCTACAGCATTTGTAGTGAGGCAACCAGGTGCAGGGCAGGCAGGGGTGCCAGGGCCGAGAGGTTGGCAGGCCTCCCTCCCCCGGTGAATCTTCACTCTTTCTTTAGGCTCTCCCTGGAGTTCTCTAGTGGTCTCTCTCAGCCATTCTCAGTCCTCTCTCATAGCCATTGTTCAATATATTTTGCCTATGGTCTTCGGTCGCACCCATAAATGATCTGTATCTATGCTCAGGTGTGCCCACTTATGCATGCTCACACCATGCTCCAGGTGCCCACCATCAGGCACACATGCCCAGAGCCCACGCACCCAAGTGCCTCCTGCAGTCAAGGTCGCAGGTGATAGTCACAGAGGCCAAGGGCGCAAATGCCTGAGCAATCATTGAGCCTACACAAGTAAAATACCTACACTTCCATTTTAGGTGCCCACAAAAGAATATAATCAGGGGCAATTAGTAGAGGAGGTGGATTAACCAAAAAAAAAAAAAATCAATTGAGAAGATCAGAAATAAAAGAAAAAGTAATATAGATCTGTCAGGTCAAATACAAATTACAAAATAAGATGGTAATGATGAACTTAACATCTCAGTAAAAATATGAGAGACCTGTACAGGATTAATCAATTTGAGTTAATGAACATGCTAAAATACTACATCTACATCTAAAATACTACATCATTTAAGTATACCGGCCTCCCAGGTGCACAGAGTCTCAGCGTTATCAAACTACATGATTTTCTACATGAGTTCTATCCCTGGCTCAGGGAGCTGACCCACATGGCGCAGCAGAGCTCTCCTGTCTCACCCGCTGCTCCACTCAGCAGTGTATTTCGGTACATCTGCCTATTTTGCTCCCAGCTCTGTCGCTGGTTAATTCTCCCACTCCCTCCACCCCCTCACCTCTGGCTTATACCCAGTTTGTATATGCCCAAATAAATAAAATAAATCTTAAAAAAAAAATGGAATACAGAGGCCACTAAACATTACCATTTACTACTTTGCTTTATAGCAAGCCTCAGTGTAGTGCACAGCACTGAAATAATATAGAGTATATTCTTTGATCAAGGCAGTTAAGCTAAAAGTCAAAAGTAAAAGATAACTAGAGCACTCTTATGTGTTTTGAAATTTAAAAATGCAATAATAAGTAACCATAGGTCAAAAAACAAAATCATCATGGAAATTATGAAATATTTTCAACTGAATAAGAATAAAAACACTGCACTTCAAAATTTGTATTTAAGGGGAACTCAATTTGTTAAATGTATGTACTAGTAAGAGTGAGAGTTTTGTGAGCTCATGAAATTAGGAAAAATAAGAGAAAAATAGATGTAAATTTAAAAAATAATAATGCAGAACAGAAACTAATGAAATAAAAGCTAAAAGCCAATAGGGAGAATCAGCAAGACCCAAAACTGGTAGGCCGAAAAGTTAATATAATTAATTATGGAAGGAACACCTCCAACCCATTCAATAGATTTGAAGAGAAAAAAAGCTCAAATTCAACATCCATTTACATCAAAAACAATTCTGGAAAAAATGATGTAAAAAATACATAAAATAAAATTTAAAAAATTAAAAAAAAAAACAAAAACAATTCTGGGCAAACTGATAATAGAATGGGATCTCCTAAGGTGGTAAGAATTGCCTACAAAGTCTTTAACAAATATTACACTTAATAAAGACACATTTAAAAGCTTTCCAGGGGCTTCCCCGTGGCGCAGTGGGTTGAGTGCTGTGCTGTGGAGCTGTCTGCAGCCTCTGCAGGGTGGGTTCGATTCCCGGCCGGCCAGGAAGATGCCCACATGGCAGACCTCTCCTGTCTCTCTTGCTGCTCCCCTCAGCAATGTCTTTGGTCTGTCTGCCTGTTCTTTTCCCCACTCTGTCTCTGGTGAATCCTCTCACCCTCCCATGCCTCTGGCCTATACCCCAGTTTTTGTATAAAAATAAACAAATCTTTAAAAAAAATTAAAAATAAAAGCTTTTCCAAACTTCAACTTGGGGATAGAGATTAAAATTGCTAATAATTACCAATTTGTTCAACATTCTACTGAAGGTCCTGGACAGCACCTTTAGAAAATAAATAGAAGTTATAATGATTGGAAAGGGAAAAGACAAAACTATTATAAGCAGATCATGTAATGATAATATATAGAGAAAATGAAAAATAATCTACAAATAAAAGTATTAGAATTAATACAGGAGTTTAAGCCAAGTTTCTGGATATTAATATCAATATAAAAAGTTCAATTCATTTATAACAATAGTAATAGAAGTAAATTTAAAACAGACTTCATTCGCAATAGCATTAAAAAATATGAAGTACTCAGAATAATCCAACAAAATATGTACAAGACATTAATGGAGAAAATTATAAAATTTTATTGAAAGACATTAAAAAAGACCTAAATAAATGGAGAAATATACCACTCCATGAATCAAAAGACTCAACATTGTAAAGATGTCATTTCTCTACAAATTGATTTATAGACTCAGTAAAATCCCAATTAAAATCCCAATAGGTTGTTGGCTCTTGACAAGTGAGCTCTAAAATTTATATGACAGTGCCAAGGGCCAAGAGTAGCTACTCTTGAAGAAAAATAAGATAGGAGGATTTGCTCTATCAGATCTAATACTTTATAAAGCCATAGTAATGGAGGCACCGTGGTATTTACATAAGGATTAACAAATAGACCAATGAAACAGAGTAGAGAGTCCACAAACAGGACCAACCACAGAGTCATATATGTCAGAGGTAATATCCACATCAGTTGGGGAAAGGTAGACTTTTCAATTAATAGCACTGGGATAATTCCCAGGAGGAAAGTGGAACTGAACCTCTCTTTATACTCAAAAATCCATGTAGGTGGACTGAAAAACTGTATATGAAGGCAAAACTCTAAAGATTTAGGAGTATTTAACATAGAGGAGTATCTTCAGGAGCTTGAGATTAGAGGAGTTCTCAAACCAGATACCAAAGCCATTCATCATAAAGAGAGATCTGTAAGAGTGAGTCTATCACAATTAAAAACATCTGTTAAACTAAAGCTGCCTTAAGAGAGAGAAGAGTCAATCCACAGAGGAGAAAAAGTTATTACAAGTGCAACAGGACTAGGATTCAGGATTTAAAAAGACTTCTGTGAATCAAAATAAGAAAACAACAAAGAAGACTTAAACCAAGATCCTTCATAAGAAGGGAAATCGAAATGGGTGATCTCCCCAGTGCAATGCAAACGAGACCAAAATGAGATGCTGTTACATAACCATTGAATTTGCAAAGATATCATCTGACTAGCACCAAGGCCCTTGACCATAGATACGCTCACATATTTCAGTGAGCATAGATGTTGCTAACCATTCTGAAAAGCAAGGGTGCATTAACTAGTAGAGTTTGAACATACCCCAGTTGACAACTGCACTCCCAGAGGCAGTTGTCACAGAAAATCTGGCACAGGGC